CCAGGCGGTACCAGCGTGATTGTCGACGGTTGGTGACATTCACGGTGGCAATCGAGGGGCTGTGACGACGAGCATCGAGGCGGTGCGCTTCCTGGAGTTTCCGTGGCACTCCGATCGGCCGTTGTACGGCGAGTCCAGGGCCCGGAAGATCACCGGGTATACGTCTCCCGCGGGGAAACATACCATTTATCCACGTCAACCTCATTCACCAACACCGGCATGTCCCAGGCCGCAATCTACGATCCTTCCCCACGTGACGGTGCCGCACATAAATATACTTGATGCACGCGCACACGCACCGAGACCGTTTGCCCTCTTCCCTCCCGTGTCCTCGTTCCGAACACCACCACCACCAACGCCGCCGCCCCCTTTTTCCTTCTCTGTCTGCTCTTCTCAGCTCGTGTCCGCGCGTTCTGGCTGCAACGTCCTCGTTCAACGCGAGATGCAAGCCCGAGCAACGTAGCGAGCGCACGGTAACACGCGAGACCGTGTGGAACACACGTTCCGTGATCAGAGAGACCCAAAGGTGGACAGGTGTGCATGTACACCGTGAATATTGTAGGCTCTACAACGTAGAGAATGTCCGTGTGTAAAGGTATGGCTATTGTGCGTGTCTGGCCGTGTGCGAGCGTTAAGGTAGACACACGTGGAACAGGCGACCGCGGCAGATTCACACTGAAAAGAGTCGGCATCCTGCTGCTTGGGCGGCTCGCTGTGGATAGACGTCGCGATAAAACGCGGTTAACACGGAAATTAACCGTTATATCTTTGCACTTATTTACTCTTACACCAGCCAGATAACGTAGCGAGCGAAACACCGTATTTTACATAATGCAATCGGCCCCCGAGCTTAGACGATGCACCGCTGCCTGAATCAAGGGCCCGAACCGAGCATCCCGGATCCGTTACCGATTTTACCGATTCTTTGCCTCTTCAAGCTCACCTTAAGATACCGTGAAGCATGAAACGTCTCAAGATATGCTGAATTTAGAGTAGACTGGTTATATTACTTGGATAGATTCTTTATTGTCATGTTGGAAAGAGTGGAAGATCGGATCTCCAAGATTTATCGGTTGTTCATTTTTGATAGTTTTTGATAGGTGTAGAGATTATAAATTGCTGTAATGTATGACAGATAATATCAACCAAACATTTGCAGCCGTTTCTTTACTTGTACATGTACTGGATGTTCTACTAATTTCGGTAATTTTCTTCGTCTCGATGGATTTTTGACTACAGAATTTACCAAGATAAAAGAATCGCAAGTCGGAGAGAAAAATTATACTTTTTTACATTTCTGCTATAATTCCAAACTTTCGGCAGATAACATGTGTATGTAATGAATCGAAGAACAACAGAGGTTCGATGTGGCTTTGCTTTCAATCATTTGCAATTTTCAAAAAACTGTAGTTAGATATTTAGATTGAAAAATCATTTAATTGTAGTTAGATGAAGAATAAAGTATTTTATTAAATATCTAGAAATTTCTTTGCTATTAATATTTTACTGTTATTATGTTTCTTCAAAGATACGTTTAATCTTCAAAGCTAACGGATGAAGTAAATCTTCGTTAATCTTAGATTACCTTGAAATTGGATGATACGATGTTGGGAAGTGGATAAGGATTGCTAATAACTCTGCAGTTACTTATGCACGACGTCGAGATACATGTATTTCGAGATTAGCATAAAGAAAGTGTTAACGAAGCCTTCAAATTACACTCGGGTTCAATTACGCTAATTAATTTCTCTTTCTCACGATTGATGGAACCAGTCGGGACACGAGTTTTGGAGCGACTCAAATCTAGCTTGAAATATTGCCAATTTACAAAATTTAGAATACGTCTCTACCGCAATATCAGGATGTCGATCAAGGTCCCTTACTCGAGAATCTGTCATCACTTGAACCGCGCTATTTCCCTTGAATTTTCAGAAGCAAACCTAATTAAAGAAACAGATGAATCGCAAAGCAAATATATCAAACTATTACTCCTCGACTCTTCACCAATATTTCCATTTGCTCCAACACAATCGTTATAATCTGTTTTAGAAAAATCGAGAGATTTTAATCAGTAAACGGCATAAGTAGCGAAAACAAAAAAAAATGCTGAATGCAAACTTAATCGTTGTATGCGCTAATGTTAAAATAAAAGATAAGATAAAACTCGAATTATAAATATTACATTTAAAACGATATTTCTTATTTATTATAAAAATTCTTGCTTATAGCACTTCAACTTCGCGATTATCTTAAACACATTAAAAAATGACGAATTTAAAAAAGGAATAATCAGGGACTCGTTATGCCTCGTCAAACTACTTTGTCTATACTAATTGCAAGCTAAGACAATTTTTCCCCTCTAAAGAACCCAAATTTCGATACTCGACCCAATTCGATGCTCTAGGACACTCTAGGTCCGTTCGCTCGAACCCCGTGGCAATTTCCTTGGAATCCTCGTGGAGACGTAAGTAGAATCAGCCGTCGAAAACGGCCTCCAGCGGCATTCGCCAGATGACTCTCGTTCTCGGCACGGAGAATCCCCAGGTCCGTGGATGCTGGTGGGACCAGTTCCATCTCCACGCGGCTCGGTGGCTCGCCCGTTTCCCATCAGCACGGTGTCAGTCTGAATAGCGCGTCGACCAATCGGACGACTGCTTTATCTTCGTACGTTCCTCCCATTGGCTGGAACCGGTCGGGTTTCTATCGAGCGGGCGTCAGAAGGCCGCGCCTAGCAGAGAGAGGTTGCTGCTTCGGATCTGGGGTTAGTGTACCTTCGTTTTCCCCTCCAGCAGATCGGACAAGGACACCAGAGTACGGGCAAGAGAGAATGAGAGAGAAGAGAGAGGGAGAGGGAGAGAAAGAGAAGAAGTGGTTGTAGAGGGGTGGAAGAGGAGATAGACCTAGTGCTCGTCTTCTTCTTCGTTAATATTGCTTTCAGCCTTCCCTCTGCTAGGCCGTTCCGAAAGTCCCTGATCGATATGACGTCGCATCCCCGGAGTCTTGGAGCGGGACAGACCTCGTGCACCCTTCCTTCGCGTCATGGGGGTTACTTCAAGCCGTCTTACGTTTCTCTCTGTGCTCGTAATCTCCAAAGATTGCGAGACGGAGAAGCTTCCGTTGATTGAGAGTACTCGGATCGGTGGGACTTTTCCTTTCCTTCTCTTTTTGCTCTCTTTCGTAGATGCTCATTGGAGGGAAACGGGGTTGCGACCTCTGTCGCGTCTTCTCGTTCGAGTGGATTGAATTTTCGAGTTGACTCGGGACATCTGGGATGAGGGTGGCTGCGATCGCGACTCGAGAGCGCCGTGTTTCCAAAGTAGGTTGATATCTCGTCTCGTTCTCTGGCGAACGAATTTTAGGGCGAATCTGATCGTTAACGATATTTATTCCATGTACCAATTCCGTACGAGGTTAACCTATGAATCTCGTTAAGTACGATCCACTCTCTTTCTCTTCGGCATAGACATACACGATATTACTGGAGGATCGAAAGTGGCGTCGGTCAGCAATCAATCACAGTAGAAACAGCCGTCGATCAGACTCGTGTCGTTGGTTCTCTATTGTTCCGCCTTCCGTAAACGGACTGCGCGACGAATTCGAGGAAAGTCATGGAACGTAATTGCCGTGAAACGCGGCTCAAAAACTCGAAACGCGAGAAGAAGCTGTCGATCGGTGGTAACGGCGCATAAAATCGGCGAGGCTCGATTCGTGGGGACCGTGTACGATTGTGCCTCGGTTAACGAACTTAATGGGATATATGTGCTTGGCGAAGGAGAGAGAAGGGGAGGAAAGAGGGGAAGAGAAAAAGAGAGCATACGGCACTCTAGAGACACGATTCCGTCGCGCACGGTGAGCGATGAATTTCCGTCGTGTTCAGTCGAATACGCGTGCGGCCACCGGTTTCGTGGCCAAATATAGTCAGCCGTTTTCAGGCCAACGAATCCAGAACTGGCCGCCGAGGACAATACGTCTAACTGTCACCGTGATTCGATTACAATTAAACCGTGTAAGAGAAAATCTAGCGTTGACGAAACAGGTGCACGCGCTCACGTCTCGTGCAACATTACCCGTTCGCACTTTCCATTCGTTTCGTCCTATTTAGTGGAATTGTTTGACTTTCTTGCGATTCGAAGTTACGAAGTACGACTTTTTCTAATTCGATTTTATGAAGTATGAAGTTTCTATGAGATTGTTTCAAACAGAAACTTGAAGATTGTGGGCTGAGTGGAAAGAAGTGAAGAAGGGTTCGAGGATAAGCTCCGTCTTTCTTGCGTTGTCATTGTTTGTAACCTTCCCTAATCGTCGGATCTCATTTAGAATCGTTAATTGTCGTATTGTAATAAAATATCTGAAGTTTCTCACTCGAAGAAATTTCACAATTCTAATATCAATTATTTTCTCTCGCGGAAATAAGGTAATGACCATTTTCGTCAAAACTCAAAAAGCTTTAACACCGTGTTTCGACATTCGTTGCGATTAATCTCGCGAGGACGCGCGCGTGGCTGGTCGGTCGATTTAACATTCGGAAAATCCCTTGGCTTTAGCGGGATTATCGTACGAAATCCGCGTGTTGGGCAGCGCGTTTCTAAGCGGGTTCTGCGGCGGGCCGGCACGGCATTCATTATTCATGATTAGCGCCTCTAGCTCCCGTCGACGTCGTTTTCAAAGCGTTTACCGGTGCGTTCGCGTTTCACTCTCAATTAATTTGTAATCGTGCCAGGTGGGGGCGAGAGGTTAGGAGGAGCAGAGGGTGCAGGAGGAGGTGGGACCGCATTGAATGGGAAGAGCGTGGTTCCACTACTATCAAAGAGAAATGACATGACACGCGAATGGTTAGTCACGCGTCACTCACGCATACAGCTACAAATTGCGTATGCTCCGAACGGGCCAGCAGCAATGTTCCAGTTCGCCGCGGCCGGACGAAAAACGTGTTCCCGCGACGATTTTAATATCGCTGACCGTTTGTCACGCGGCCTGCGACGAGATACTCTGGAACGTACGCGCGCCGGTCTCGTGTGCCTGCCGGTCGCTCGC